ACTACTGGGAATTTGAACCAATCTTCTCGATATACCAAAGATTAGTGATGACGTAATCACGTTTAAAAACAATGCCAAAGCAGACATTCGTTACTTTCTTTCAATTAAAGATATTCTGCACATAATACAGACTTGCTAACGGCAAAAATTAAGCTTACAAGATTCTTAATATAAAAAAAAAACACTATTATACTGGCCATCTACAAATATAGCTTTATAAAAAAAGAACAGGTATGTTAGGTATGGCGCGTATTTAACGGCCAGAATCGATAGCCGATCGACGAGAGGCGGTCGTGTGCGTGTCCGTGTGTGTTGGCTACAGACGGAACGGATGCGGTCCGGGCACACATCGCAATAACTATTTACCGAGAAACGTCGTGCATGGCGCGGCTTTTATGGTTGTACAGCACGTATTATTATTTTTAATATCAACCAAATGGAAAAACACTAGCAAATTTTATGACAAACATAATACAGTTGTATTTAATTAGTCATACCAATTACCACCATCACAGATTATTAAATGACTAATCTTGAATGGGCTAAAAGTGCGAATATCTATTTTTTTCCACTTTTTTCCTTTTAACTGATTCTTAACTATGCCGTAGTTCGTGTTTGTTAATATAAACGAATGCATAATGAATGATGAAACTGAAACCAGACATATATCAAAAATTCATTACGAAAAAAAATGTTCATATCTTATCACGTCGGCAAATTTAAAAGAACTGAAAAAAATACTCGTACTTACGACACATGGACGAAGCTATCTTTATTTTAGCAATTTAACATAATTTTCTGTCATGCCAGATTTTATTATGAATATTGTCTTTACGGAGTGTCGGCATAATTTGTGCTTCTCTACCATCCATCCATCCATACTTCCGGTATCACACCATTTTCTCAAGCAAGAATACGTTATGGTAAAAAAAAAAACATATCGACGAATTGAATACCTCCTTCTTTTGGGAAGTCGGTCAAAAATAAAAATAAAGATATAATAATCTTGCTGTGGGATTCATAATTGAAATCCGAGACCTTTAAAGAAATTAGCGGAATCTATTCAAACTTTACTTTAAAACATTTCTCGAAATTGGCTTCTTTCACAGAAGATTAGAAGATTTTACTTAAAGCGCTTAGCTTAAGCGTATTGACCTTGGGCCGGCCAAACCTCGTAACAATGAAGCCTTATTGAAGAGGTGAAGCGTCTTTTAGTCATTCAGATTACCAAGAAAACACAATTATGTGAATTACGAAAACTATTATGTATTTTACCGTATTGTTTGTAACTATGTAGAGATTTTAAAAATGTAATCAGAAAAAACTAACTGCTAATTAAACCAAAGAAAATACCTTTATTAGCTTTGTACTAAAAAATTGTGGATTTTTTTTATAATACAATTTAATTGTAATTACACATATTAAAGGTTTAATAAATTCGACAACCCTATTCGTTTTGTATGCAGAGCCTATCGCGTATACATATAGCGTTGAGATCTTGACATCGGCACAGCAGGGGTGCCTCCACCACTAGCGATACGCCACATCTGTCCTAGTTTCTAATCATTCCATCGGCTGAATGCATTTAAATAGTGCTCTAACAATATAGAAAAGCGTTTTATACTGTTTTAAGCGTATCATACATTTACGAATTTTACACATCAATAGTAAAACATATACAAGGAAAAAAGCATGTAGGGTAAATCTTTTTAGTTACATGTAATTTTTTCTGGCCAGATTTAGAAGTAATCACAAGTTTAGAAAACTTTGCTGCAAGATAAAAAAAAATACTTGGTCCTAACAAATCCATCAATCTTGGATCCTTTAATATTTAGTATTATCATCACTTTGGATTCTGTCAATGTGATACAACTTGCAATTTACGTATATATTTATCGTTGTATAGCATCAAGAAGTTTTTTATCCAAAATCGAATCAGTAACATGTATAAAAAATACATAGGAACATTGATAAATGTTGATAAAGCGCTGACGTAAATACGTAAGAATGTGCAAACATTATAGCACACTGAACTCAATTTAATATGTTATGAAAATAATATATTTAACAACTATGTTTAGAGTGCTCTGACAATAGACAAATGTTGCATTCGAGTTTGCGTTATTATTATACTACTGAACCTTAAAGTGCGGACACACCTTTGACTAAACTATCGCCCAACTGTTTAGTCTAGCTTTGAGATTCCTATGAGCTTGTATGGAGGTGCGCACATTACTCGATTTTTAGTTGTGCAAATAAACAGTTGAGTTGGCTGTGAAAAGTGTGCGCCCGCTCTAACTTTTACGTATGCAAAGATAACATAATATAATCAATAATATATTACGGTGACCTAGTGCGGATGGCACTAAGTCGCTGGATGTTATGAGCAACACCACATACTGTGGATGACATCAAACAAGGCTTATATTCTTTGATCGCACTGGACTAATAATTTTGTCGAATACCGATTTTTCAGTACTTTAAATACTCATACGTCCAAATGTCAGTAACACTCGTCGCAGTACACAGGTGAGTGGTATATTGCAGGATCTAAGTAAATCTCAAATTCATACTTGAGTAAAATAAGAGGTTCAGTTCAGATGTATTTTACGCTTGATGGTAGGCACTATTCGCCCGCAAAATTAGAACAAAGTGGATTGACACAACTAAATGATTTTCTAATCTACTTGATTAAATTTTCGTTGTTCAATTAGTTAGTAAATAACTGTACTCCACTTAATTACTACTAAATGATGCTAATTAGCCTTTACGTCTAGCTTTACACTGACATAGATTATGACAATTGTTAAGCTAACAGCCTACATAGTGTTAAGAAGAAAATCAGTAATGTGCTGGATTGGCACAACACTAGATCATTGACATATACATCCCATCCTTATCTGACATCTGTCAATGTCATTTAGACATTAGAATAGCGCCATTTTGATTGATTAGTGGTCTAATTGTAGAAATTATTTACACTGTTTCAATTATATTAACTAACAATAGCTACATGATCTAAAATGTCTAAACTGGTCAACACTAGACGTGAAATTCACAAGCCAAAGGCGTCAGTGTATAATTTACGACACACTTTGGCCGGCGGTCGACGGCCTGGGTTACATTACCGTTGCGACATCGCCTTATCCGATAACACTGCTGGAATATGTAACTTAATAGCTTTGTTTGTGCACTTTTTATAATTAAGCTTGTATCTTAAGCAGATAGACTGAGACGCATTTCTTAAGATGCAATTAAACCTAATACTTGGAAAACTGCTTTAATAGCAGCTGCTGTTTTTCCAATGAAAGAAATTAAAAAATAACAATATAATTAAAATTTATTAACAATAGTTAACAAAACTTGTAACCAAATCACATCTACTTTAATTTATACTAAAATAGAAGCAGTCAGTCTATGAAAACATAAATTGTTGATTTCTTTGTACATATCCTACATTATATTCATTATCTATTCAGAACTACATCTCATTATAAACTGAGGATTTAAAGCAAATATGCTGTAGTCCAAATTTTTCATATTCCAATACATGAAATTTCAGTTAATATTATAAGCTACAATTTAGTATGCCTAGTTGGACTGCATATTTGCTTTTATGTCTTAACAGTTCGACTCCCTGTTCTGTTTTTTAGCTCTTTGTTTAATTTACTTTTTAATAGGCAATGTTAGTTGCCATTAATTAACCTAACTGGACCTTAACTACCAAAGAGGTTTCACCTTCACTCTCCTTTACTTCCAAAGCGGTTGGATCTTCATTCAACACAGGATTTAGAAATGAGGTGATTCTTTTAGTAGACAAGGAACATTCAAATAGATAAAAATACATATGAATTTAAGATCAAATATATGTGTTGATATAATTGTTTTTAAATTTAAAGTCATATTATATACATGTTTAATTAATTTTGAAACTTATATTTGTTAGTTGGGAAACAACAATAACTATAATTAAAGCTAACAAAATTCATTAAACAAGTGAGGGAAACTCTCTGTTCTCAAAGTTTGAAATTTAAACTTTGTTTATTAAAAACAAGTATAACACAGCTTAGAGAAACTTTGAAGAATTTAATGAAACTTCACAAAAGAAATCCAACAAGTCCAAAGTTAAAACAAATACAAGAAGCCTAAATAGGTAAATAATGAAAGGCAAAAACTTTCCAATGAAATCCATTCAAAGTTTTTACCCAATTCAAAGTATGTTAAATGAGAAGTCAGTACTAATTTAACTTTGAAAACTTTGTTCAAAATGTTGACTATGTTTGATATTAAAATCTAATTACTTAAATTATATAGTTACTTAAGTTTTATTCATCTATGTCAGTAAAAGAACTGCAATAATAAGGTTTAAATTTCAGTTTTGCTATTTACTTTAAAAAAAGTTTATGACAACAAAAATCCTCTATTGTATAAAAGTAAACAATGAGTTTATAATTATAGAGAAATTGATAACATAGTTCTGCATAAATTATTTAGTTTCAATTTTTCGACGTTAATATATTTTTTTTCTCGTATGCCTGAATTGAAATGACACGTTAGTACAAAGTAACTTTGCACCAAGAATATATAAAGCGTTTGATTGACGTTCCTAAACGATGTCCTAAACTACAAGAGCTGAATAGTGTTCGTAAACGCACTAACTTTCTAAACTATAAGTAGGTCATCAAAGTCCCAACAGCGCGCAGTTTAAAACACCGCGTGTTCGTTAATCTTCAAGCCGTACCCAAAAATCGGTACGTTCTAGAAAGTCATGACCCGCGGTTCTGTGGCCGTGAATTTGTGACGCGTCGGTGGCGTCGGCGAATATGTCGTCGCCCGTCAACTAGACCACTGCACGGAGCCCGCTTCGCCACCATTACGATGACGCTATCACATTTTTACATATAACACGGTTGCTAGAATGTTTATGTCTGCGAAACTGCCGACTAACGCTGACACATACTTCTAGCCGATTCTTTAACAACAAATATATACGGTCTTACCGTCTAAAATGCTGAATCCAACAACAAAGAATCACCAGCCACGCGCTCCAGTTAGAGGGCACTCACTAATCACGAAACCACAACGTAAGGCAGCAATATTATGTCACTGTAACGTTTGTTTTGTTCACAGTCAATAAACGAAGTCAATTTGAATGAAGTTTTCTTGGTTTTCTCGCAATAAACACTAAACCGGGAAAGCGAACCCTGAATCACCGCCAGCTCCGTACAAAATGGCGGATTAGCGTAATGAAAGTGACGCGCTGACGCGCCGACAAGTTGTACAGATTAAAAAGCATTCGGAATAGTTATAGACTAAATAATTTAAAACGATCTAATAATTTTAATCAAGTCAATGAGAGTTTGTTAAACGCATAAATTAATATTCTTTTTCATACATTTTTATATGAAAGTCTACTTCTTTAAAACTTGTAATAATTTTTGGTTTCGACCATTCGACATCATGTGGTAACATTGCAATTTAGTGTTACCACAATGAAATATAAATTATTTTTGATTCGTGAAGACTCCATTTAATCTTTTAATTAAAAAAATATCAATTTTGCAAAAAAACCTTAACGTTTTTATAATTCTCGGGGTCGATTTTATATTACAACTTGATTATAAAAACCCATCAAACTTTAAAACCATTTCCTATTGTGTTTACTTTTGATTACAATCAGCTGAGTTTTGTTGTCATTGTTTTAAATTGTCATCGAAATTACGCCTTATATCCACATCTGTTAATTTGCGAATCAAATAAATAAAATGAACGAAATAAAATCCCTCGAACATGCAACTTTAAAGGTGAGGTTTAAAAAGCAATCAATATGTAACTACCGTTTGATATTTTTTATGTCCACCATACTTCGCAATACGTATTATTTTATCAATAATTGAACATATGTTATAATTAAAGTCTAATAGTTTGTAATATTAACTGAGTACCCACTGGTCTGTTGATCGCCTTAACGTAAAATTCAACGGGTTTTGATATATTTTACATTTCTGAACTGCTTTCTACTAGAATTCTGTAAGTAATTTTCCATAAAAATAAAAATTATCTTAAAACATAACATGAAGATGGAAAAAACTTTTTGTTTTGTATATTCTATTATTCTACCATTGTCTTTTTTCCTATTACAAAGAAAAGAAAGAACTTTTATGTTTCTTAGATTTAGTAAATTGACTTGTTTGTAAGTTTGTTTAAGATGTAACATATTGTACATCTATGTAGTACACATTTATGT